AACGGAATCATGATTGTGTCGAGTCAACTCTCAGCTTAATTTTCGCATGTTGTGAATAGTCTCGCGATGTCAAAGGAGCTTGAAAAATCAATACCAAGCATGATATTTTGTTCCAATATCACGCGTGATATTGAGAGCGTATGAGAGCGGAAAATGTGATTTGATTGATGATTTTGCCAACACTGAACTTTACTATCACATTGTTTTGATGGATGGTGATCAATTTAGGAAAAGGGTGGCATTATTCAAAAAAAGTTCAAATCCACTGGAATAGAGAATGTTTGACATCGATCAGCATCCTGGTTGTTCATTTCACAGATCAAGGAAAATGAATGCTAAATCGGGCTTTAGACCATGTCTTGGCACATTGGATGTTACTTTTCGATGATCCTAATTGTGAACTAACCCGACAAACCTTGTGCCAAATTTGGAGATGATTGATTGTAACCCGGCTTTCCACATTGCGTTTGAAATTTGTATGAAAAATTGTATAGGAAAACTTACTTTTTTGCATTTTCACCCCTAGAGACCAAAGTTTTGCTTGAACCATTCCTAACAACTTTGCCGAAGGAAGTACGATGCTTGAATGTCTCTCAAAAAATTATAACTTTTAAAATATTTATGGTTTTTCTTACATGATAAAAATCACTTTTTCTGCCAACACTGCCAGTCGATGGAAGTCAGATTCCAAACTGAAATATTTTCGGAGTTTCTTAGCTTATAGATTTGGCATGTTCAGATTAATTATTAAAACATAATAGCTCTATCTCATATGCGTAGTTGGAGAGGGGGAGGGTTTACTATACCCCCGCCCTCATTCATATCAATGGAAGTAAAGCTTAAAACTGAAATAACTTCTGTGTTTCTCATCTTGTCGAATTGCTATGTTCAGATGTGTTATTCAAAAATATTAGATTAGTCCTAGTTCGATAGGGGGAGGGCTAATTGAATCCCCTTTCGCTCTCTTATATCAATGAAATTAAATTTTCCCGAATCCATCTTACCGTCATTCTGCTGTTGAAAACGTTAAAATTTGTCCATTATCAGATTGCGATTTCTTTTCATCTTGAAGTGTTTGAGATCAAATTTTGCCATATAGTGGTGACAAACATGCGACAACAGCTTCTTATCCAGTAATTAACGAGCAATCACCTCGTTCGGCATCTGGAGTTCGCGTTTGTCGTATCGAAATTCATTGCCACAATTTTATCTCTCAAATTATAGAAAGCCCCCCCCCCCCCCTCCTTTAACTACGCTTATATGATCGAGCAATTGTTTTGAAATAATTAATCTGAACACACCAAAGTTAACACGATAGCAAACACCGAAATTATTTGCCTTTTTAATGCACCACCAATGTAGCGTGTAGCGAGTTCGAGAGGAAACGTCAACCAAACCGTTTGTTTACATCAGAATAAGCATTTTTCACAACGCAAATTAAAGCATTTTTCATTGAACATCTTGCCAATTTCCATCAGTAATTGTCTTATTTTACGATTTTCCACAGATCTAAACTGATTTGCACCTAAACTAATCACACACAAGGAATTCGGCAGATTATAACCACTAAGACACTATTATAATTTCCCATTTTTCTGAACAACGTCACGGCAAAAATGTCTGCTCACAACACTCTTTTTGACGTTCTCACATTAACCACCAGAGGTTGAATCGATCGCTTAATTTCTATTAGCAAGGCGTATTTCAGTTTCGAATCTGACTTAAATGGGTACACTGGCAGTGTTGGCAGGAATATAGATTTTTGGCATATAATTCACAACATCGATTTGGGGCTACAAAATGGTAGGTTGACAACCTTAAAGGAGAGTGATTCCTAGCTCTGGTCCTCACAAGTCCCTACCTCACGCCTCCACGAGTCATATGATTACAAACGACTACCAGCTGAAACATGGACACTAGATTGATGCAAAATTTGAAATTTTCACTCCACAGTGCTTAAACGGTTCCAAATCAGGTCCTGGTTAGCCTCCCAAAATTTGAACTACTTTAGTAAGAAACTGACTTGGCACAAACCATTTCAAGTTTATATTGGAATCACTATGGGAAAACTTATGTTTTGTTCATATCTATCTAACAATTCACCACATCAATATGCTTTTAAAAATCATAACTGTGATTGTAGCAAATTTTCTCAGCTACAACTTTGGTCAAAATCACTTTTCAATCAAAAGTAAGGAACAAAAGTTATTAAGGATTCAAGTCACTGATGTCTTATGATTATGCTCATTCAACTGTTCAGCAGGCAACATTGGTGTTTCTGGTGCGAAGAATAGAGCACAAATATCACGGCTACTATGTCACACTGCAGAATACAGTCATAGAGGTAACTCTAAAACTAGAAGGTCCCGCAGAAACGTGCTCAACTTTTTGGCACAGCTCTGGTACTCTCTTCGGTTCCAAGCTAATCGATTCACCCTTCGAAACATAGGAAAAACCAATAACCCCTCATTTTATCTGTCAAACTTTCATAGCGAATCAAAACAAACATTGCGTAGTACTAGAATTTCGACTGGAATAGGGTACGTTAATCGTTTGCTTGGGACCAATAGGCTACTAAAGTGGTGAGCCAATTTAAAATCGTTAGTTTCGTATTGATTGTTGATACAGTGTTGCCCACAGAACAGCTGCTAGAAAATGCCATAAGATTATCAATCTCTTCAGTATTAATTACAATTTAACATTGACATTTGACTGAAAAACGATATTCCACAAAGTTGTAGCTTAAAAAATTTCCCGTAAGAATAGTTATTGAAATTTTCGAAAAAGCAATATGGACAATGGGTAGAAGACAATGAACAAAAAGTTTGGTTTTGCCATAGTAATTTCTATATAAACTTCGAATAGTTTGTGCCAAGTCAGTTTCTTTCCAAATTAGTTTAAATTTTGGGAGGCTAATCAGGACCTTATTTGAAACCGTTTGAGCACTGTGGAGCGAAAATTTCAAATTTTGCATCAGTCTAATGGACACAGCTGGGTGGCGTAGCCTGAGCAATGTTGTCAATCCAACAATAGCAAAGTTAGGAGGTGCGAAGCGAACCCTGGCGTGGTAGAGGAAATGCTTCGCCTCCGAGCGTCTGTCCACCACGGAGGTGCGACTCAAAAAGCGTCTGACTGGCATCCAGCGGCTGAATAAGAAATGCTCTTCCCCGGAAGCTACATCTAAGATGGCAGTCCCATCAGAGGATATGAGACCTTTGACCAACCACCTACAAGAAGGCCAACACAAGACACGAAGGAAGATGGTTATCAGTTAGGTAAGTTACTTCATGATAACACTAGTTTACAAAACAACATAAAAAGTGTGAACTTTAGTGGTTGACCAACGTTTCTAATGCAAAATCCTACGCTGAATTCAATGCCATGGTCAGAAAAAATTAAAGTTGAGCCATTTTTGAGATATACAAAAATTTTGATTTTTTGAATTTTGGACAAAAGTACGATTACTAAAATGTCAATATCTTTGGAACTAGTGCGCCAATTTTAAGTCTTTTTTTTTATGAAAGTGAAGCTAAATAAATTTGCTATCGTTCATTAGAATATTATGTCTTAATTAAAAATTTAATTTTGAAGTCATTTAAAAATTTACAGCATTTTTTTTAATTTTTCCTGCGAATTTTCCATTAACATCTTGTTTTAATCAACATTTTTAATGGGATAAAAAGATTCAAAAAACCATTCCATAATTTATTCTTAAAGTCCATTAAAAACTGGAGAAAATGAGCCTTTAATGGATGAAATCGGTTGGAAATTGTCGAAGTTATGAAATTTTTTGTAAAATCATGGAAATTGAATGTTCCAAGATTGGCCTTTGTTCCGCTCCTAGGTTCATGCACCACTTCCAGTAAGCCTTTCTGCGGACGTGTATGCATACGGTGCATTTCACTAACACTACCAGCTGTCACGCAAAATTAAATGGGATATTTTCAACAATATAATTTACGCTAGTGTTTGTGAGACCGCTCGGCGAGAACCTAAAGCAACCAACTCAATTTGACAGCTTTCTTTCTTTAACATTGCTTAACGATGTATACGACAAAACGTGAATTCAAGTTTAAAAATGATCCTCAAAAGTTTTGTTACGCGTGTTGCAACTATATATTTACAAAATCGGTCAATTTCACTGCTTCGTTGCAAACTGGCTTCTATGACAAAACCTGTTCCACATTCAAGTTCGGTCCCGTATCCTGTTTAGCGGAAACGAGCGCCCTCTGTTGAATCGACCGTTACAAAAAGTGAGGAGGAATTCAAGGAGGAATACGAGGAAGACTTCGAGGTGGAATTGGAAAGAAACCCAAAACTGTTTACACAATCCGAATTCAATGATTTGGTGCGAGATCTCGACTTATCGAAGGAGAAATCCGAATTGCTGGCATCACGCTTGAAAGAACACAACATGCTGAGCAAGGAGGTCAAAATTTCTTGTCACAGGAATCGTCACAAGAAATTTGACAAATATTATTCTACAAAGGACAAGGCATGTTTTTGCCATGACGTAAACGGCTTGTTTGAAGAGTTTGGTGAGCCATATGATCCAGCTGAATGGCGTTTATTCATCGATAGCAGCAAGTTGAGCTTGAAAGCCGTTTTACTGCATCAAGGGAATGAGAAACCTTCTATTCCATTAGCTCATGCCGTTAATATGAAGGAAACGTATGAATCAATGGCTCTATTGCTCAATTTGATAAATTACAATCAACACAATTGGAAAATTTGTTCCGATCTTAAAGTGGTTGCCATGTTGACTGGATTGCAACAGGGATACACAAAATATATGTGTTTTTTGTGTAAATGGGACAGTCGAGCTCGTAAGGAACACTACGTCCGAAAAGATTGGCCAAGAACTGGCGTGGTACATCTGCGTTAATTCAGTTGGACTTCCAATTGGATTGCGGTAAGTTGTCATCAGGGTTCAGGGTTGAAACGTATCGTGTATGCCGGTAGTTGGAGCTAGTCATTGAGGGTTGCGTGGGTCGAGTAGTTTAAATCATATTGAAGAGTCCGGTTTCCTTCAGGAAGATAAACAGCGTAGCAGTCCGAACGGGATCATCGGAGAGGACATCCCGGATGCTGCCGGAAATGTCGTAGCTTCTCCTGGTTCCATCGTATTTCGGGCATATGCAGATGAAGTGCTCGACGGTCTGTGGGATGTGGCAGTGGTCGCATATCCTCCGGAAGGGTCCGTCCCCCTTATAGTTGTGGGAGACGTTTGTGTGGCCGGACCGGAGTCGCGATAAAACAACCTGCTCACGGTGGAGGGGTGGATCCTCCCATCTGCTGGTGTCCCCTTTTATCTTCCGTATAAACAGTATACTTCCGGCGAGCCAGTCCCGGCTCCAGGATTGGTCTACGGTCTTGGTGACCCACTTCTTCAGATCCTGCCCGGGGACCTTCCGGGTATATTTGGTCATACGACGGCCTGATCCGGCGAGATGATCAGCTTCCTCATTCCCTTTTACACCGCAATGTCCAGGCAACCAAATGAATACCGTGTTGGGTGGCGCGTACTCTTGGATGGCCTGTATCCAGGGGTGCCTGCTGGTTGCGGATTCAAGTGCAGTGACTACACTAGCAGAGTCTGTGAAAAGTGCGATTGGCCGTGTATCCGGGGTAGTAACTGCGATAAAAGCTGCGGCTGCCTCGGCGGAAAAAATAGAGCACTCATCCGGGAGCCTATGACACTCCTTTAGGTGGTCACCGGAGATGCCGATGCCCACCCTTTTCTGGGCTACGGAACCGTCCGAGTAACGGATGGCGTATCCAGCGTACGTCCTTCTCTGCAAATCCAATACCGCCTGATTTACCGCAGAGGGATTGGAACCAGCCTTGAAGTGCCGTTTGATGGTGTGGTCGGTCTTAATTGGCGGTTTGTTCCAGCCTCTGGCTCCAACCCAATGTGTCTTGCACACTGGGGGGAGAGCTCGGTTGGAGATTTCCCTGAGGAACTTGTTGGCCTCCTTTAGGAGGGAACCTTCCTCGTCTGTACCTGACGTTATCTCATTCAGCCCGATGGCGCGTTTGCATATAGTCGCGGTAATCAGGCGGTCGAAGGGGAGTACTCCTCCCTCGATGCAGGCGGCGATCCCGGGGGTACCAGGAAGGAGTCCGGAAGAAATCCGAAGTGCTTGCTGGTAGACTGGTGTAAGCCTTTCCACCAGGCGTGGTTTGGCAAGGTACGTAGCCTCGATGCCGTATGTCAGCCGCGAGTTTACTATAGCCTTCGCAACATTGAAGCGTGAGGTCCGGTTGGCGCTAGGATGTCGGCCTGCTAGTGTCCTCAGGATGTTTAGGCGCTGTTTGCAAGCACTCTTTACCTCGTTCAGGTGCGTGTTGAACGTAAGAGAGCGGTCGAAATGCACACCAAGTATCCGAAGGGTTTTTCTGAACGGAATTACCTCGTCCTGGATGCTGATCTTCGTGCTGAGGATCCGGTGATTGGACGGACAAATATGAGTGTACCCGCTTTTTGCTGCGGACATCTGGAATCCCGCGTTTGATGCCCAATTCGAGATGTAGGCCGTGGCTTGAATAATTTTTCTTCGAAGCGCTTTGACAGTCTCCTTAATTGCCATAAGGACGATGTCGTCTGCATACACGAAAATGAATATTCCGACCGGCAACCTCGTGAATACCCCATTCATCGCTATCACCGACCCTTGCGGTACGCCAGTCTCCTCGTCGAAAATCTTGGATCGGCAGTTCCCCAGGACAACCTGGAAGGTCCGGTGCGAGAGGAAGTTCTGGATGAACTTCAACACGTGTCCTTTTAGACCCCAGGCTATCAACTGGTCCAAAACACCTGGCATCCATGCCCGGTTGTAGGCCTTCGATAGGTCAAGCGCAACCAATTCAGCGTGATGGTTATTTGCGGACATTGACGATAAAGCTTCGCTGAGGGAGCCGAGGTATGTGCTGGTTCCGTGGCCTGGTCTAAAAGCATGCTGTCGGTGGTCCAGGTGTTTCCCTTCCTCCAGGTACAGGATCAATCTCCTGTTTAACATTCTTTCAACCAGCTTAGACGCACAGCAGGTCAACGAAATGGGTCTAAATTTGTCCACCTCGTGCCCTGTGGAGTTCGGTTTGGGGATTGGGACGATCAAGCTGTGTTTCCACTGGTCGGGGAAAGTGTCACCCATCCATTCCTGGTTCACCAACTCTAGCATCCTAGCCTGCTCCCCGATAGGAAGGTATCGAAAGAGAGGATATCCCACTTCATCAGGTCCAGCAGATGCGCCTCTAGCTTTAGATAAAGCAAGGGCGAGTTCATCCAAAAGTTGACAACATTAACGGAGAGTGATTCCTAGCTCCGGTCACCACAAGCCCCTACCTCACGCCTCCACGAGTCATATGATTACAAACGACTACCCGCTGAAACATGGACACAGCTGGGTGGCGTAGCCTGAGCAATGTTGTCAATCCGACAATAGCAAAGTGAGGAGGTGCGAAGCGAACACTGGCGTGGTAACCCTAGCACGGCGGTAGAGGAAATACTTCGCCTCCGAGCGTCTGTCCACCACGGAGGTGCGGCTCAAAAAGCGTCTGACTGGCATCCAGCGGCAGTCCCATCAGAGGATATGAGACCTTTGGCCAACCACCTACAAGAAGGCCAACAAAAGACAAGAAGGAAGATAGTTATCAGTTAGGTAAGTTACTTCATCATCAAATGAATCAATGATAGCATATGCATTAGACTTATGTAAAATTTTAAATTTTCGCTCCACAGTGCTCAAACGGTTCCAAATTGGGCCCTGATTAGCCTCCCAAAATTTGAACTCATTTAGTGAGAAACTGACTTGGCACAAACCATTTGAAGTTGATATGGAAATTACTATAATTTAGGTTCATATCTATCTCAAAATTCACCAGTTCACTCTACTTTATAAAATGATAGCTGAACTTGTTGAAAATTTTCTCAGCTACAACTTTGTCAAAGACCACTTTTCAATCAAATATAAGGAATAAAAGTTATTAATGATTCAAGTCACTGATGTCTTAAGATTATGCTCAATCAACTGTTCAGCAGGCAACATTGGTGTTTATGGCGCGTAGAATAGAGGACAAAAATCATGGCTACTATGTCACACTGCAGAATACAGTGTTGCCCACAATAATCTTAATCTTGCCATAAGATTATCAATCTCTTAAACAATTAATAACTATTTAATTTGACGTTTGGCTGAAAAACGATTTTCTGCAAAGTTGTAGCTGATAAAAATTCCCATAAGAATAGCAATAGAACATGTTAAAAGTACATTATGTAAAAAGGCTTGAAGACAATGAACAAAAAGTTTCGTTTTCCCATAGTAGTTTCCATATAAACTTCAAATGGTTTGTGCCAAGTCAGTTTCTCACTAAATGAGTTCAAGTTTTGGGAGGCTAATCAGGGCCCAATTTGGAACCGTTTGAGCACTGTGGAGCGAAAATTTCAAATTTTGCATCAGTCTTATATGCATATAAAACATTATATTATTATATGAACCAATAAATGGTGGGAAGGGGAGGGACCACCAGGGCACCCAACTGAAGCGATTTGGATGGGGTGAGTGAAATTGTCAACTCTCTGTTGTTAACATCTTGTGGAAAAAAAGCAGGCTCTTCTCCACACTCATTGAATCCTTCTGCTTGACGGCTCGTTTTTTGACCAATTGTATGATCATGTGGCTGGAAGGAGATTCTCTATCATCCCGTGGAGGCGTGTAGGTGAATTACCTATCGATCCACCAAAACTGTTTTTGGCAGGCCAGTGACAAGACCTATACTAACAGCAGCGTTTGACAGTAGACAGCATGTCCCGGGCTCAAATCGTTTATTTTGCTGTGCTGGGCCCGCTGTCACGGTATAACATGTTGCCTACGCGCCTGCCACTGGGCTGGTTTTTTGACATGTTGAGAACAATCAGAGGTTATTAAGCCTGATCAAATCAAACAGTGAGGAGCGCCCACTGCTATCGGACTTAGTTTCCGTGCTACAATGAGTGGTAGACAATTATCATACATTATACATAATTCGCAACATCGATCTTTGAATGGCTGTAACACTATTTAGAGACATTCGGCAAAGTTGTTAGGAACTTACTTTTATGCTTCGTTTCATGGTTCAAGCAAAATTTTGCTCCCTAGGAATGAATATGCAAAAAAGAAGGTTTCCCATACTAATTTCTATACAAAATCCAAACGCTATGCGGAATGCCGGGTTACAACCAATCGCCCCAAAATTTTGCACAGTTGTTTGGGTTCCCAAATGGATCCGAAAAATCATTGTTCTGAAAAAAATATCATGTTGACCTACATGGGCTTAGATGCATATACGCTGTCTGGAGGCAGAGTAGGCTGCACGTGCAAACGAACATGACGTTCGTTTTTGTTTTCTCGGAGTTTTTATGCATATTTGGTTATTAATCCGGTTAAAATTTTCCCCGCTACTTGTCTACCGTTACTCAGATCCAGCAATCGACTACAGCCGATTATATTTTATCCCCGGAGGATCACCACAATTGGGTACTTCAGACTGGTTCTACATAGGACAGGACTAGTTTATGTTGATCCCCATCAAACGAACTGTATTTGATTGGAACTACAATGCAACAATAGCACGGATGCTTCCTGTGGATTTATTTGGACTAACTTGGTGAGATCGTATCTGATTTTATCTATTTAAACTAAATTTACATGATTCTCATAAATTTGACAAATTCTTAACGGAGTTTTCTCCACGCATCCCATTTTTGTGTGTCTTTGAAATCATCATTGAACGCCAAACGGATTGTCTGCACATTTTTGAACAAGTGATGGAACATTACTGTAAACTATATATGTTAAAACATTATATTATATGCTGGGTTGTGAGGTGGGTGTTGGCAGCCTAAGGGAATCAAAGGATTTGTTGACTGGACGAGGGTTTGTGGATTTGCCAGTCCCTTGTCACGTGATTACAGATGGCCATCTGGTCGTTTTGTCCAAAGGTCTTCAATAAAGCTGATTCACCCTGCTGCAACAAACCATCAGGCAGAACCTTACAACCGGTAAAGTATCTGCAGACATTGGTAATCCTTGCACTGATGGTGGGTTCCATTCACATCACATCACATCACAATATACGCTGTCTGGAGGCCACCATATTGGATTTTGGACCTTGAATTCCAAAATAGCGGCGGATGTCAATTTTCCACTTCTACTCATCGAGCCCATTCCGTAGATACCGTAGATGGGTTTAGATCAGGCCTGCCCAACCTTTCTTAATTTGATTTTTTAAATGTTTGTATCTTTGATCGATTCACATGTTTCAGGATGCATTTTGTTTATTTCTCATTAATTCTGAGCTAAAATTTATCATGATCAATAAAATTGGGCTAGAATGATATCCTTGCTGAGATTCACAAACCACGTCCGGCCCATTGGGCAGCGCTGATTTAGATGCTTATAAGTTGTTTAGAGGCCGCCATATTGGTTTTTCGTCCACCACCTTGAACTACAAAATGGCGGCGGATGTAAATTTTCCATTGCTACTCATCGAGACCATTCGGTATATACCCAATTTGCATGGATTTATATACATATACGCAGTACGGAGGCCACCATATTGAATTTTGGTCCGCCATCTTGGGTTGAAATCCACCATTTTAATTTCATCGGGAATGCTGACCTGAATTTTGGAATGTCAGTCAGGTTCAATGAGTCATTTTCATATGTAAATGAACTGCCCCTGATAACTGAGAAGTAAACGAGTCACTGACAGCCGAGCACTCAGTCAGTAGCTTAGTCAGCACGTTTATTCTTCCGTGATGGAACCCAATCCTTGTTTTGAATGAATTAGTGTACATTTTCTATGGAAAAATGCCTCAATTGCATGCTGTGTGAGCGAAGACAAGCGGTCCCCACAAACAATTTGTGCTGATTAAAGGCTGAATAAGCAGTTTTTTAGCTGAAGAAGCATATTTTTGCCTGAATAAGCTCTTATTCTGCTTGCAATGTTTGTTGGGGTGTGAGTCGCCTGTTCGTGAGTGACTGAATGTTTTTGTTAGCTCTTTCATTGCCTCGTCCTTTACGGCAAACGGTCTGAACAGAGCAATGAATTGAATAGTGCAGTGCTTTCACACTCCTAAGTAGTCAATAATTTTACGCTCTGATTTATCTACGGAATGGGCTCGATGAGTAGAAGTGGAAAATAGACATTCGCCATGATTTTGAAATTTGAAATGGCGGATCAAAATCCAATATGGTGGCCTCCGGACATTCCATAGATACAAATGTTGCGTTGGTTTAGATGCAAATACGCTATCCGGAGGCTGCCTCACATTGGATTTTGGTCCGCCATATTGGATTCCAAAATAGCGGTGGATGTTGGTTCCTTACTTTGATTGTAATACCAAGGTATTGATTTTCCATTTGGTGATTTTGCTGCCTCAAAATCAGCTAAGGTTAAAACCAGCCGTGATTTTCTGTTAATGATTTTGCTGATCTCAAGATCAGCAGTGATTTTCAGCCGTCAGGATTTTTAGGATCACTGAATAAAAGAGATCATGGCAATTTCTCTTCGTTTCTTAAGTGTTTCAATGTTTCTTATAACTTTCCGTGATTTTATTCGGTTTTCCGGCGTACTTCGGAGGCGAACCAGCCTCAGGCTGAAAGCCTCCCTAATAAAGCAAACTTAACTTAACTTCTTCCGAGATCCTCTGGATGTCTTATTAGATTTTCCCCTAAAGTTTCTTCTGACTCCCACTGGAATAATCTTCCGGCATCTCCAGGAAACTTCTTCTAAATTCCCTCATAAGTGCTTCAGGCTTCCCCGGCCACGTTTGCTTCCATCCACTTCCTCTGGAATTGTTTTCAGACTTGCACTGGAAGTTTCATCTGGCTTCCTCCATCGGAATTTCTCATCATACTTAGTGTTGGATATTTCTCCAACTTCCCTCAGGACTCCATGTTTCTTTGGTAGTTTTTCCAGACTACCTCTGAAAGTTTCTTCCGACTCATCCCTTTCAGAAGAGCTTTGAGTGGGTTGGTTTATTTCCTTTAGATTCCGTTATAATTGCTTGTAACGGAATTTAAAGTTCTTCATAAAGGGATTCCGTTAAGAGGTTCGACAAATTTAAAAGATTCCTCCCTTTCGCCCATTCAAACTTCCTCCGAAATTTTCTTGACTTTCCCTTTAGTTTCTCTCCTGC